CGGCCATCCCCCGCATCAATACGGCCATCCCCCGCATCAATACGGCCATCCCCCGCATCAATACGGCCATCCCCCGCATCAATACGGCCATCCCCCGCATCAATACGGCCATCCCCCGCATCGATACGGCCATCACCCGCATCGATACGGCCATCACCCGCATCGATACGGCCATCACCCGCATCGATACGGCCATCACCCGCATCGATACGGCCATCCCCCGCATCGATACGGCCATCCCCCGCATCGATACGGCCATCCCCCGCATCGATATGGCCATCCCCCGCATCGATATGGCCATCCCCCGCATCGATATGGCCATCTCCCGCATCGATATGGCCATCCCCCGCATCGATATGGCCATCCCCCGCATCGATATGGCCATCCCCCGCATCGATATGGCCATCCCCCGCATCGATATGGCCATCCCCCGCATCGATATGGCCATCCCCCGCATCGATATGGCCATCCCCCGCATCGATATGGCCATCCCCCGCATCAATAGGGCCATCCCCGCATCAATACGGCCATCCCCCGCATCAATACGGCCATCCCCGCATCAATACGGCCATCCCCCGCATCAATATGGCCATCCCCGCATCAATATGGCCATCCCCCGCATCAATATGGCCATCCCCCGCATCAATATGGCCATCCCCCGCATCAATATGGCCATCCCCCGCATCAATATGGCCATCCCCGCATCAATATGGCCATCCCCGCATCAATATGGCCATCCCCCGCATCAATATGGCCATCCCCGCATCAATATGGCCATCCCCGCATCAATATGGCCATCCCCGCATCAATATGGCCATCCCCGCATCAATATGGCCATCCCCTGCATCAATATGGCCATCCCCTGCATCAATATGGCCATCCCCCGCATCAATATGGCCATCCCCCGTATCAATACGGCCATCCCCGCATCAATACGGTCATCCCCCGCATCAATATGGCCATCCCCCGCATCAATATGGCCATCCCCCGCATCAATATGGCCATCCCCCGCATCAATATGGCCATCCCCGCATCAATATGGGAAAAACAAGCCATGCATGGCACAGTCCCAGTTAGTTATCAAATTTAAGATCTATAGTTTTTGTTTATAGTAATATAGCTGGAATATAACCACGTCAGGAATATGATTTTTTAACATTAAAACGATTGACATTTGTATCTGATCGTCAAACAAGTACTTGTCCATATTGAGAGATATTGCTCTGGAACAGCATTCAAAATCAGCCATTTTGAATACATGTATATATATATATATATATATATATATATATATATAACATGATGTATAAGGAATATGTAAAATTTGAATATAATCAGTCAAAGCATTTAAGAGATATGGCTCTAGAAGCCCAATCATTAAAACAAAATGGCCGCCATTTTGAATCCAATCTGAAAAATAAAATGATGTGGATCAGGAACCCGTAATGTCTAATGTATGTACCAAGTTTGAACGAAATCCATCCATAAATGCCGGAAATGCTTCATATTTGATGATTTTTTAGCACAAAAATGGCAACCCTCCGGCCATTTTGAATAGGATTGTAAAACCAATATATCTGTCTATCTATGACATGATGTATAATGAGTATATAAAATTTAAACATAATCAGTGAAAGCAAGTCAGACATATGGCACGAGAACCACATTCATTAAAACAAAATGGCCACCAGTCGGCCATTTTGAATCTAATCTGAAAAACAAAATTATTTGCATCAAGGTCCCATAATGTCTAATGTATATACCAAGTTTGAACAAAATCCATCTGTAAACAGCTGAAAAATGCTTGATTTTGATGATTTTTAGCACAAAAACGGCTGCCATTCGGCCATCTTGAATCTTGTATAATATCATGTATGATGTATGTGTTAAGTTTGATTGTGATTGGTCCAGGCATTTCTAAGATACAGGTCCGGACGGACGCACGCACGCACGCACGCACGCACACACACACACACACAGGTCAAAACTGCATCCGAACGGGGACTAACAATGTAAGGGGTATATGTGTATACCACGTATATCAAGACATGATAACATGCAAATGATTACTTACAGGTAACTGAAGTGACTGCGCTCCGATATCACAGGCACATTCCTCCAGTAAAGTATCAGACACACCTGAAGACAATACATTTCCTGGCGGACATTCAGCAAGTTTACTCACTAACATTCGTCGCAATTCACTTATAGTCAAAATGTACTGCTGTAAAAGTTTTTCCCTCACAAAATTTGTAACTTCTGTTCTCAGCAGCTGATTGGATGGCACATCAGACTGTGGTCCATTGTGGTCAATGTGATTCGAAGTCGCATGGTGCATTTTGTTACTCTGTGATGCAGAGTTTGTTTCAGTTTCCATGGCAACAGGTTCAGTTCCTGCATGAGAGTTTGAATCTGCTCTACTTTTTGCTTTCATTCTGGCTTGCTTCACTCTCTCTTTACCACTTATCACTTCTACTCCAAGTCCACCTGAAAGAGATCATTGCATATTATTACTCTAAAATATTATTGATCCAATACATCATTAAACACCCACAAGAAATGATGTTTCAAGCAAAATTTTGTAAACTGAGATTGTCAAAAAATACAGTGGTAAAATCATGTAATTTACCACAAAATAGTCATTCTCATCAGTAGAAATACAATAACTAGATATTTGGATACTTATTTTTGCAATGTGAATGCACTACTAGTACAACCAAGTACAATGCTCAGTATGATATCACCATTGGCAGTTCAGTTTTAACAAATATTTGCCAATCCAATTAATTGAACAACCAGATTTTCAGATTGGTTGTACCACATTGGTAATATTTTTAACTTCAAACTTTGTGCAAGTTATACACTAGATTGGCACACTTGTTTTGAATTAGAACACAATGAACATACCTGGCACAGTCTCTTTACTTTTGTTTTTTTTGTCGGATTTCTCCATCTCAGTCTTGCTTAGTTTCAAGGATTTTGCAAGTCTGTAATTCAAAATCAATACATGTGTGAAGATATTTGATCCCTGATTGGTTTGTTTGACTGTTAGTCTGATGAAACAGGTTTATTTTAGTCAGAAAACTAAAAATCGCATTACTACCCACATTAATGGCCTCAACATGTGATTTTTAGGTCACAGTGTCTATTTTCACCAGAGGGTACATAGGTAGGGATAAGTTTATTTTATGAAAAATTAATTATTCTCAATTTATTATTCTGCAATGATGTTTGGCTGATACTGTTATACAAGTATTTCCAATAGTAAACCTTATGCATCTACAGGTTGACAGAATTTCAAATAGAACTGAAAAGTGTACCTACAAATGCCCATTTTCCAGGCAAGGTCAGGTTATCGGAAACGCAATCTACACATAGCCCCTGTGAATTCTCAAGTTTAAGAAATATATAAAGTATGAACATTAACAATCGGAGCATGTCAGAGATATGGCTCCAGGACTTCATTCACTAAAACTAAATAGCCACCAGTCGGCCATTTTGAGTCCGATTTGACAAATAAAATGACATGCATTAAGGTCTCATAAAGTTAAATGTACATAAGTTGGAACAAGTCCTGTTACTTAATAGAAAAAAAACATAGTTAAACTATACATGGCTTGCCCTGTATATGTAAGGATGGGCAGATCATAGCAGAGTGGGGATATCATATACCAATTTGTTTCCAACAAATAACATTTCAAGAACACATGTCGTGAAACCTAAACAACAAATGCCATTTTATATGTGCCTCTTCTTTACAATAGTACCAAAAACAGTACGAATATACAGACATCAACTTACTGCTGATATTTAGCATCCCATAACATAAGTTGTCTTTGTACAACTTCAGGATACTTCTCAACGAATTCCTGATCATATTTCAGTATAAACTGCCAGCCTTGGTTTACTTGCATTCTGGACATCTGTTCAAAGAATTCTTTGATATCATCAGAAGGAAGCTGCAATTATATTAGACAACAATCAAGACTTTATAGTAGAGAATTAGAGTACAAATGATCTCCATAAGTTAGAGTTATCAACTGGGGCATTTCCATCCTTCCTTTATTAAGAAACGCAAATAAAGAAACATTACATAATATTTCTAAGAGTGTTATAGCTGGAAAGTTCCACAAATGTATGCATGATAAATAATACATTATTACAATGATACCATGAAGTATGAAAGACAAACTAAGCCATACATCAGTTGTTATTTTCACTGTACTGTGTATACATTGCAGTATTCCTATAATAGCCTTGTATGTAAACAATATGCTCAACACACACTATTAAGCAAAGGCAAAAAAATAAATACACCAAACCCAAAATATCAGATCTTGAAATTTGTCCTGTTTAAAAAGGTAATTATTAGTTATCGTTGGAACAAGAATTCTCAATTAATATGCAAATTAGGTTAATTAACATGCACATATCTTGAAATAAAAGCTTTCAAATAAGGTTCCTTTTTCTCCCGCATCCATGGTTGTGTCAAAGGTGCCACGTATAATCTCTGGTTGTGTTCTGCACAAAACTAGCTCAAGGAATAGAGAAGAATGTTAAAGGGTCACAAATAGCCTCGTTGTCATGGTGACACTTTACATACTTACTCTGGTAACTGCCGCCACTTCCTTCCTCACTACATATCTACTCTGTGTAAATCTCCACATCTGAAAAAAACAATGAGCATAACAAGACATCTGTCTGGTATATAACACACAGGGAGTTCAACATTGCTGTTTGAGTAATCAATAATATCGGTCCTGATGATTTCTTTGAAAAAGTAGCAAATCAAGCAGAAATGTATATTTGTCATTTTTTGATTATTCAGCACTAAAATGGCCGCTTTTCAGCCATTTTCAAATGAATCATGAAAGAAATGCATGTGCCCATGTATGCGTGAAGCATACAGAAGTTTGAAATGTGATTGGTCAAGACATGTCAGTGATACAAGGTGAACTAATGCCCACTTCCATGAAGACATTTCATTTTCTGACTTACAATATAGTCTCTGCCTCTGCATAATATTTCAGCAGATACTCCACTATTAGCACTTATAGTATCTTTAGGGTACAACACATCACTGCAAACAAAAATAATCTACATTACCGTAAATAGTATAGTATAGTATATGTTATTTGACACTAAATAATATATTTTGTTACTGTAAAAGGGTTAATTATTCACTGGGTTTTAATTTTGCTTATTTCGCAGACTGGAGAATGCGCTAAAATAAAACTCAGTGAATATGTAAAATTGAGCATAGAACACATTACCTAAATGATAAAACCGTGAATTTAAAACCCACTGAATATGCCTGAAATGGCAAATCAGCGAAATTTAAACCCAGTAAAAATTAGACACTTTACAGTACAGTATCTGTGATCAAAAGACATTAAATTTAATAAAACACAAGTACATACACAAGACAAAAGAAAATACATAAAAGACTAAAGTCGAAGTAAAATTACTTATAGTAAAATAATATGCTGTCAATAAATTTGCTAGCACTATTGATAATGAACCCATCTTTCGAACTTAAAATTTCTTCAAACATTTGTTGTTTTGATAGTTTAAATATACTTTCATATGTAATACAGAATTCTCACTGGAGGGGGGGTGGGGGGTTGAAACATTCAATCAAATGAATGAGATGATGTGCCTATTTACACACTAACAGTAGGCAGGTATTAACAAACAATATTTGGAAAGTTTGAACGCACCTTTTAACAACCCAACAACCTTGTACTAAGACTGCTACTTGTTGTAAAGATCTCAAAACTGCCATGACATCAGAGTGACCGGATATCAATGTCAATAGCTGGGAAAACTGAAGCACTTTAGCTGCAACCAAAATGAGAGTAAAGTCGCTGTGTTTTAAAGGTAAAAATTGCATTCAATTTGACATTTATAAATCTTATAATATTTGCTAAATCAAAAAATGACACAAATATGATACAGCAGCTGATATTTCATAGCTGTATGATAAGTAGTGTAGGAAATCAATTAGGTGTTGGAAATCAAACAGCTCTATGCAGACCACCAATGAGATGTGAACTACGTACTTATCTTAAAATCCATCCGCTTATGATCAATTCAAGTATTTTATAAAAATAAAGTTCCATAAACCAATGCCGTACAGCAGTTGCTGCTGCATGAAAATTGTTACATGCTTGTATTGTATGCATGTAGTAATCTTCAATTCCAAAAGTGACAATACTCTATGGTTTTAGTGAACTATGTATATATTTATTAAAGTCAGTACTTGAAAAGATTACTATTGAAAGAAAAAAAAAAAGAAAAAAAACACCCCAAGCCATGCTGATTTGGGTTTCCAGATTGATTTAGCAATGGAAGGTATTACTCATGTTCATTCTTCGTAAACGTCATGCTGTGTTTTCCTGTTTATGGTATTTGTGAGCGTTAAATGCAATTGTATGACAGAATAGCTGGACCTTACCACTTGCTAACAGTGCCCTCACTTGATCAGCTAGTGGCATAGTTTTTAGTTGGGTCATTGACAAGACGTTACTTGGCATCTGTGGCATCTTCCTATCTGAAGTCTCTTCTTCTGGCATCAGCATACCAAGATAGTCCCTGAATACAATGATTAAAGTACACTGCATTATAAACACAGATAACTTATCTCTGAAGAAATAAATATGATTGCATCATTGTGTAGGAAACAGTAGGAAAAATGGCCACCAGGCAGCCTTTATTGAACAAACCACAAACAAACACATAATGTAGAAAACAGCATTTCATTTTACTCTGCAATGTAATTTAACAAAGTGAAAAATATTTTATTTATTAAGTGATATTCTGTGAATATTTAAGCTAATAATCATGACTAAAAATACATACTTTGAACTTGTACTAAATTCAGTGACATCCAAATCGTTACCACGGGAATACAAGTAGCCATACTCCTTTTCTGAATGTTCAGACTGAAAATCAAATTGTATAAATATGATATTGAATACATCTACATCCAAAACTTGTCGCTTCATGAACAATCTTTGAAATCAGTTTACATAATGTAGACATGTTTAGGATTCTTAGAGGGAGTACCAAAGCATGTTTTGAATAATCTTAAAGTTTTTTTCTCTTATGAGGTTATTATACAATACTGTGAAAGGTGTAAAAGGTCAGGGCAAATAGAGACTGACATAACCACACACTGCCCAATTAAGTACATTGAATCATTAATAAACCTTCCATGCTTGGAGCAATATTATTATCGGTCAAATCTTCTTCCACTGTTTGTTTATTACCATAAGCAGTTTGAGAAACCACTGAATGGAATGGTCTGAAATTCTGATTGATCCATTAGTTCAGTTGCAGCACTCAATACTTCCTGTCCCGGCGTTCACAATTTATTCACGCCTATTACGTTTATACACAATATTTATTAATAATAACAGATTAATTAATAAGAGGTATGACCGACTATCGACAGTCTATGCTTTGACCTGATAGGTCAAGTAGGCTATTAACCAATCAGAAAGCTATATTGTACCAGCTAAACGTATTCAGATATTTCTGGAAATCATCAATGCCTATTTAATAATGAATTGATTTATCCACGTTGCATGCATTGACACTCAGATCGCCGCAAACCAACCGATCTGACACATACCGCGCGTGGAACTTTGGGAAAAGTGGTCCGAACTATTTCCACATTGTGTCAACACAGGTGGTGCTATTCAGTTGGTTTGCGGCGATCTGCGTGTCAATGCTAAATGACCTTCCAAATTACATGCATTTTAATGTTAATAAAATAAGACATTCTGATGAGTATTTCAATTGATCAACTCATTGAAAATTAAATCATGCTAAAAATCGGGAGAGAATGTGTTCAAAACAAGAAAAATACTTGTATATAGTTCCGCGGAAAAAACGCTGAGTAAAATGGTGGCGGATGAATATTTAGCCTTCAGAATATTTAGCCTTTTTAGTTATGCGTCATAAGATACAGGTCTGTGCTGAATAGCGCCACCTGTGTTGACACAATGACGTTGCATGGCATTTTCTAATAAGGCATTTCCTAGAACCATCAGCATCAAATAGCCCAACATCAGCCACCATGTTTTTAATAGTCCATGTTTAGAGTTGATTCAATAGTGTTACAACTTTTTTTACACTGCATCAGAACACTATTCACAACTTGTCAACACAAGTAGTACATACCCCAAGATGATGAAACTTGAGATCAACCCACATTTCTTGTGATTGTTTCTGTTGTAAGTACTGCCATGAAGCTAATCGTCTCGCCTTTGCTTGATCTGTTTCTGGTCTGGCAAATTTCACCATGACTGGTTTGGCTTCTTCCTCAACCTCATCCTGCGAAGACTCCCCTATCATAAAAATAAATATATTATAAATACTGCAAATATATCAGAACAGTTTCAATAGAAAAACTTTCCAAAATTCTGTATGTAAAAATCAACAAATTTTAAGATTTTTAAAATTGTTCATCTTATTTTATTTGTCACAATACAGCGAGTATTGTACCGGGATGGAATTGAACAACTCTCTCAATTCATACATGCTCACACCATTTTTATGATATCAATATATGTACATATATATCACCATAAATAATACTTATCTAAAATCATAATGAGCTTACCTACTTTTTGAAATTACAACTACTCTCAAAACAGATCTACACATACCTTCATTTTCCATTGCTTTTTCTTGTTTGATTCTGACATCTGCTTTATCCAAGTATGAGAAACTAGGACGTAATTGAACAATCCCATGTAAAGGTGTCAGATGAAGCTCCCCTAGATTAATGGAACAATTTATACTCAGTAATCAGACATCAGCCACAAATAATTTGTATTTATATTTTTGTTTGTCTGTGCATGCCCTTGTTTGTCTGTGCATGCCCTTG